AAATAATTGGGGCAATTGTAAAATGTCATTTTAGTGTGCACATTTGTAAGAATGTCATTTATGGGTGTCTATTTGCAAAAATACCACTAATTATAGATTTTTAAAGCCTAATTCTGAAAATTATAAAGCCTAAAACATGTTTTGACCCCTAAAACCCCTTAAATCCTCAAAACTAAACTCTAATACAACATAGTTAACCCAAATATAAATGATATAATGAATTTTTTTAATTTGAAAAAGTGGTATTTTTGCAAAGATTTTGAAAATGTGGTATTTTTGAAAAGTGGTTGGTATTTTTTAAAATTTCTCAAAGTAATATATCATATCTAAAACCTAAAAAAAAAAGTATTATCTCTTGGACATATAAATCAAACAGGAATTTTCGAATCCATAATCTTGGTTTTGTTTTGGTTATTAAAAATAAAAGATCAGCATAAATTTTTAAGTATTTACGGATTTCAGTTTGTGTCATAGCCCTAGCCCAAATAAATCTCCAAACCCTATGGCCCATTTTGTGTGGCCCACATATCTCATAAAAACCCTAACTCTCTCCACACTCTTCCTCTATATAATGGAGACGCCAAAGAGAGGAAGGAGTAGAGATCATCCTTGCAGCGAAGCTCTGCCGTTTTTCACTCGTGACCTAGCCGCCACCGCTGTTGAGTGTGTCAGTCGTGAGCTCCGGTGACCGGAAAGACCAGGGAAAAGATGAGCAAAGGAAGGCTGTTGCGAGCAGTGACTTTGCGGGTCGATTTCCGAACGAGCCGTAACGATTCAGATGACTTTTCTTACACTTCTGGATAGATCTCGTTTCAAGGTTTCCACAGCATCTTTCAGATCCCGATTCCAAGGTAGGACGAGTCCGCAAATCGTATTTAAAGTTGTCACTGCGTTGCTGTTTCTGCATAAGAAAAGCTGTCTCAGAATCATCTGATTTTCCAGTTTCGAAAAATGGTTTTTGGAGGATATTTCCCGTCGACTCAGAGAATTTCGGATCCCGATTTTGGTGTCGCTGGAAAGGCGTTGTTGCAAGGATTCCAGGTCAAGTCTCCATTTCCAGATCTGGTATAAAACCAGTGAGTTATTGGTGTTGCTTTCTGGTCAAGTAATGCTTAGTCTGTCAAAACCCAGAAACCCTATACGCAGACGCATATTGGAATCACTATTTTCGGAATTTCAGACCGCCAGGAGTAGCATTTCAACCGCTTTTCTTCCAAACTTACTTTTTGGACATAATTTCTAAGGTGAGGGTGGGATCAGTGGACTTTTAATATTAATAATTGATTTGTATTTGTTATGCTAAGTCTAGGAGATTGAGTATGAATGATGATTGTTGAGTGTGAAATTGTTGATAATATTATGTGATGATGTCGTGGTTATGAAATGTTGGTTTGAGTGGATAATGTTGGTGGTTGTGTGTGTGTCGGACTGAGGGCAAGGACATAGCGATCCCGCTAAAGCCCGTAAACCGGCTGACGAGCCCAAGGTGGCGTACGACCTTTCGAGGTGACGGCTAGCCTAAGTGTGTCAGGTGTCAAAATTCATGAAAATGTTGTGTCATGTGATGAGTGTTGATAATATTATGGATGTGTGCTAAATGATTGTTTGTTGTTTGCTGCTTGTTCCAGAGTTAGTATTTTCGCATGCAGGTTGGTTAGTAGTATTGGAAGTCATGTGGGCAGCCATGACCATTCTTCACTGAGTAATTCTTCCTGGAATTATTCACCTCTCTTTTTCCCATTTTCAGTGTATGCAGGTGTATTTTTTGTGTTGTAAATTAGGGCACGAGACCTAAGGCTCAAAGTGATTGGGTAACGGATGTTACACGGTTACCTGTATTTGTTTTTAAAAACTCGAAATTCATTCTCATTGGTGAATCGATATGAACTAATCACATTAACCAAAATTAACCTAAATTTTCACTACAAAAACCAAATCAAATTATCATTGCGATTTAATATGGCCTGATATCCAATGAATATATATTTTCTATTATAAATATTTAAGTAACAAATGATATTTTGTTCTTTACACTACACTCAAAGCAACAATTATTAATTAAGAAAACTAAAAAGAAAAACAAAAAAGTGGAGAGCTTCATATTATTGTAAGTAAATGACGACAAAAAAGAAGAAGGTAGTATATTATTAGATCTAATAAGTATAAGTTTCTTGTGTCAGAATTGAGAAATTCTATTCACGCTCTCCTTGACTTGTCGATTCATTTTCTTTTTTATTTAGATTAAAAAACCACTTAAAAGGTAAATCTGGTGAATCACATAAAATGATTCTATCTAGTGCAGTAGTGCTTTGCATGTAAGGCAAATAATCGATCTGAGCTAGAGAACACTAAAACGTTTTTTTTTTGGTGATTCTCACAAATACAATTAAACTAAATGAAATTTTGTTTGTACCACTATTTTTTAAAAATTCCACAAATAATACAATTTTTCAAATATTTCACAAATACTTC